GTAAAGATTTATAGCCTCGGAAACCCTGTTCAGGGTCACTATGGGTCAGAACTGACTTGATGGCACTTAACAACAACATGTGTGTGTATATATATACGTATATATATTTGTTGTTAAGTGCCCTCGAGTCGATTCCAACCCATAGTGGCCCTGTATAGGGTTTCCGAGGAGCGGCTGGTGAACTTGAACCACTGACCTTGCAGTTAAAACGGCTTTGCAGTCTGGCGCATTAACCCAGAGCACCACACCAGGACTCCCATATATATCACTTCACAACAACAATAACAAACATATATATATATATATATGTGTGTGTGTGTGTGTTGCTGTTAGGAGTGCTGGTGTGGCTCTGTGGGTTTCTGACTCACAGTGACCTTATGCACAGCAGAAGAAAACACTGCCTGAACTTGGGCCAACCTCACTACTATTGCCACGCTTGAGTCCATCGATGTTGCCACTTGGCCAATCCATCTTGTTGGGGGTCTTCCTCTTTTTCTCAGACCCTCCACACACACACACACACACACGTGTGTGTGTGTGTTTCCATTGCATTTGGATTCGGTGACAGTATTAGCATGCCTTTGTGTAAACAAACATACCTGTTAAACACGCTCAAAGCAAATCATTCAACATACTGCACTGAAATGGGAAAATTTTGAAGTGCACATCATTTTCTACTGTAAGCTCCCTAACCAAGCAATCAAGATAAAGGAGAATGGAAAAATGTATCTAAATTATTAATTGGGCTTTGGATCAATAGGTACAATAAATATCTGAAACAAAGTTATTTCTTTTGGTAGAAATATGGTCTTACATCTAACAGTTTAGTGAGAGACATCCTATGGAGAAAGGAGGGTGTCTAGTCATAAGCATTACTGAAGGTGACATTAGGTTCCTCCTGCTGGCGGTTTACCTCATTAAGCTCATACAACAATCCTGGGAGAAAGACAAGAGTAGCTTCATTACACAGAGGAGATTACGACTCATTAAACTGGTTAGTGTCACTTTGCTAGTAAGTTTTGGAGGTCGATTAGAACTCAAATTCTGCCTATACTCCTCTCAAGACGCTACAATGCCCCAAACAGAGACATTTTGAATTGGGCTGATATGCTTTTCCCAATTTCCAGAGTGAATTATTAATGAGCTATTTCTCCTCCCATTATAATATCAGGTGTAACATTCAGGAGATTAGAGTTTCGTTTTCGAATCCTAGATCAGCACCTGCTCAGGCGCGCTGCCGCTGTCCCTGGCGGGTGGTGCTGGATTCCCCCTTGTTCAGCAGGCAGGATCAATCTCCTATCTGCGAACACAGACACACACACACTCACACACCCCAACCTAAACCCAGATGGTGAGCTTCCCTATGTGTGTACTAGTTAGCAGTGGGGCACTAAGGGACCTTGGGAGCGCCCTCTGGCGATAGCAGAGCGCACTTATTTATCAAGCTCGCCCCCCTTTGCCGCCGCCGCGGCGCCCCCGCCCGACTCTCTGGGTTCACTCGGTCTTTTACTCCGTGAGACACAGACGGCAGCTTTCGGAGCAAGCGAGGGATCGGTGACCAGTTGAGGCGGCCCCAACACAACTGTCACCGCTCGTCCCGAGAAGACCTAGCCTTCAGGAGAGAAGGATCCTCATTCCTTTTCTCTCTCCCCGCAGGGGTCCCTCGTCCCGACCAACCACCCTGCTCCCCCTCGCGACGCCCTCTGCAGCCACTTGGCGGGGCGTGCCAGGACTTGGGGACGCCGCTTAGGGAGGCGGCGGCGACGGCACCGGCGCCAGGGTGCGCGCACTGGGGTTGGAGAGGACTGAGTGGTGGGCTGGGCGGCAGCAACAGCAGTAGCGGCGGGTGCTTCCCCGCCTTGCCGCTTCGCAGGCAGCACCGCCTCCCCGGGCCGCGGCCGCCCAGCCGGGTCCTCTGCGCGTTCCCAGGCCCGGAGTCGGCGCACGATGCGCCCGGCTGCGTTCTGATCGCCGCTTTGCCGCTGCTTCTGCCGCGATGATCCCTCCCGAGCCGCCGCAGCAGCCGCTGCAGTCGCCGCCGCCAGCCCTGCCGAACCATGTGGTAACCACCATCGAGAACCTGCCGGCCGAGGGCAGTGGTGGCAGCGGCGGTAGCCTGTCCGCCTCATCACGGGCCAGCGTGCTACAGAGAATCCGCAAAGTGCTGAACAGGTGAGTGGCGACGGCGCAGAGCGCTGGCGCGGGGGACCGAATCGGGGCGTCTGGCCTGGGGTGCCCTTCTCCCGGGCGGTCCCGGAGGCCCCTGTGCTAGGGGTCAGGGCGGGTGGAGAATGAAGAGACCGGGCGTCGAGGGGACCCGCGCTCAAAGAGAAGGCGTGGGGACCCAAGCAGTTCGCGGTACCTGGGTCCCGGCGCGCGGAGACCAGAAGGAGCGCGGAAGCTGCTTCGGGTCCGAGGCGGGAGTTGGTAGAGAGGCGGGGTTTTCAGTACCCAGCTGCCCTCTGTTGTCCGCACTCGCGCCCTCACACACATAGGCTGCCTCACTTCCCTTTGCCCCTCGAAACCCAGCTTTCCGCTCAGGAGCTGGAGCGGAGCCGGGAGATGGCCAAAGCTAAGGCGGGAAGGCACCCGGCTACCGAGACGGTGTGGAGTCGCCGGCCTCGAGCCTCCGCCCCCACCCCGGCGGCTCCAACTCCCTTGCCCAGGGGTGGGGTGGCGACGACCACCCGGCGGCGGCGGGAGGGGGCCCACTTCTCTTGCTTGTCATTCTAATCGCCGCTCCCGTATCCTGGCTGGGAAGAGGGGAAGGGAAGCTAGAGGCCTGGGCGAGAGCCACGCAAAGTGCCAAAATGTTCCCCGAAGGGTGTGAGACTGAGGCCCCAGTTATTCCAAAGCGGGCTAAAGCCAGAGGAAGCGAACCATGATCGCCAGCGCCTCCTGTGTTGGAATCTGCGCAGTGGATCGATCCAAGAGGCAGGCGTTTTAGGATGAGGACCCTGTATTAATGTGAAGATGGGGGGCTCACCTGGCGTTCCTGATTCCACTGTGATATGAAAGGGACTTCTATTTAAGGAACTGGAAGTGGTGGAAGAGTTGCCACATATATGTATATTATAAAGAATTGGTTTTGTGTGTTTTTATTTGTGTGCGTATGTGCTTTTCAGTGCGTCTGTCAGGGTAACTCGTTAGGTCGCTGTGTTCAGGCAGGTTTCTGTGTGGGTAGCTAAGATTCCCTAGGGATTTCAGATGGAACTGTCTGGAGCATACAGCTCTAATAGTCGTACAAAGTATGTAGAGGCTTCAAAAATGGCTTTATCTTGGGGGTATGGATTAGTTTAGTTATATCAAAACCCAAACCATATAAGAGTCCTTGGTGAAACTTAACGTGTATGTTAACTTCCTTGTTGGGTACTTCTTCAAACATGAATAAGTTCACTCTGAAGTGAGACACGAGTTGGTATTAGAAAGTCAAATCTTTACTTTGATTTGTAGCAGGGAACAACAATTTTCTTCCAAAATATTGCGTATAAAAATAGTAAACAGAGTAAGTCAAGAAGATGTTGGCTCAGTACATGTCATGTGGGTTTCCTATTCTTTATGAAGACCGTAAAAGGGTTTTTTTTTTGTCGTTTTTTAAAATTCTTTGGAATTGGCTGTTTAAATTCTAAATAAAAATATATTAATTTTAATTTCTTTATCAAACTAGAAAAAACTGGTACCAGACTTCATTTATCTTCAATTGTAAGTTATTATTGATTCCATGCACTTAATTTCTTCACATATAATGCATCTTCGAGTCCAGAATAATAAGATCACTCAACTATGAGTGACGGGATTTAGGTTGCCATCATTCCTCTGTCTCTAGCTAGCTTATGTGGCTTGGGACACCTTTTTGAGTTTCAGTTATTTTCATATTCTAAAATGTGTTTCATAATACTTATCTTCTAAAGGAGGTTTTGAGAATTTGATAATACTGAACAGAATACTTGCAAAAGTATAGCCCTCTCTGCAAATCATTATTCCACTTGTTTGTATTGACTCAGGTATTTATGTCTCTGAGGGAGCAGCACAGGGAAATAAAGTGAAGTCCTGGTACATTGTGGGTAGAACTTTGTGCTTTACTAAGCTTTCTGTTATCTGTACTGAGTTCAGCTATTCCTCTTTTATAGAGGAAGAATTTGAGCTTAAAGGTTGAGCTAATGATACTGAATTGCAGATATATTTATGTATGGAACCCTAGGGTTATGTCTTTATATATAAACTAAAACACATTTGTCTTAAAAAGTTGTTAAGAAAAAAATCAGAATACATTTTTAAAAACTGGATAGTATAATTTCTTTAATGTGCTAATTGACTTGACTTTTGTGCCATGATTACGTCAACAGGAGACAGCATTAATAGTGGCTGCCAAGTGCCTGGTGTCTACATTGGAGCAAGAGCATGGGAGAGAGTGAAATTTTACAGATACTGCTCTATAGACTTGCTGCGGCAGGGGGCTTGGGTTTTAATTTGGTGCTAGCGCTGGTTATGGCTTCCCTTGGGTTTTAACACTCATGATGTGTTGGACTAGTCAGTAATGGGTATGAGGAAGGCTCTTGGGGCTAACTAGTCAAATCATACACATCTTTGTTAATTGCCTAAAATGTTAAGATCCTCTTAATTTTTTCTACTCTTTCTGCTCCTTTTCCTCTTCTTCTTCCTTGATACTTCTCTTTCCTTCTATGTAGTCTATAGGCATTCTCTTATTCACTCATTGTATTCTGGGGTGCAGTTTCCTTTCATCTACCCCTGGCATGTTATCAGTTTAGCTGCTAGCAGAAACTACTTGCAGGAACTAATCTGAGACACCAAAAATTTATAGGACCCAATCTGGAGAATATCCCTCCAACTTTTGGCATGCACATATGTTGCTGTGAGTGGATAGGAGTGGGGGTGTCACTTCAGTGACCCAAATGGGATGGCCAAAGGGGGAATGCAAATAGACTGAAGGTAGTGTGATGGATGTTACAATGCAAATAATGAAAACCTGTCCAACTGCCTGTCATTGATTGAAGTATATAACAAGAGCTCTAGAGTCCAGGTGGCACAGTGTGTAAGCACTTGGCTGCTAACCCAACAGTTTAGGATTTGAACCCACTAGAGGCTCCATTCTATTGGGTCACCTCTCTTTGCAATGGGCACAAATACGGATATCTTCCAATCAGTTGACCAGATAGTTGTCTTCCAAATTTCTAGGCATAGAAGAGAGGTGACTCAATGGAATTCAGAAATCACTGGACAATATCTTTGATCTCCCATGTGAGTAAAGTTTACTAAAGGTAATACAGAAACGGCTACAACCATACATGGACAGA